AGAGAGAGAGAGAGAGAGAGAGAGAGAGAGAGAGAGAGAGAGAGAGAGAGAGAGAGATGTGTGTGTGGGATGATGCCTTTCTCTAACCCTCTGTGCAAATTTTGATTTCAACTTTGGCCGATCTTGCTACGACCGCTTCGATCTTCACGAATCATTTTGGATTTTCTGCTTATGATGCATGTGGAATGGTGTCCTTCTTTTCTTTCTCTCACCTATGCAGTTTTGATGAGTGGCGTCGGTCCTCTTTCTGTTCAGGACTACCCCTGGTCTGTGTCCTTCTTGTGAATGGTTTGATTTTCCCCCTCACCCTTGTTTCATTGTAGTATGATGCCGGAGATCCACACGGCCCTCGAGTTTGATTGATGTATAAGTTCGATCGATACCTAAGTATGCATGCCAGTTTTATAATGAACATTGTTGGTGTATGCTTTGGGAGGGGGTTAATGGATGGCTGATTCAATTGTGTGATTGCCAGCGGATCGCCTCCCTAATATTTGTTCCTGACCCGCGCATGGACTAGCATGACGACGGATCAAACGATCTCCCGACCAAAGGGATAATCGGTCGATCTGGTCTGACTGATCGCAGACGTGGTCTTGTGCGCATACGTGCCGGCTCGATCAAAACAAACATCGCCTGCACGCGCGTCTACAAGACCCGCGCTCGAGTCCATGTCTAAATTCGCAAAATTCAGGTAGCATGGATGATGGGACTTCCTTTCACGTCACGGATCGGGAGAGCCTGAGACACCGACGGTTCCGGGAATACTAGGAGTGGAAAAACGCCTGCCTTCTCGCACAACCCCGCCCCAACCCTCCAAAGTTCCCCTTTCGGACGGGAAAGGAACGTGTCTGTGAGTGGGATATCGAACGGGCCCTAAGCGCGATCCCTTTTCCCTCCCAGTTCCCCAGCTCACACGTAAGCCACATCATCGCTGAACCCGGTGTCGTCATCATTGAGACAGACTTCGCTCCCTACCGCCTCGTGTTGCCTTTTCACTGCCTGACGGCGGCCCCGTGGCATGCACTAGCCCCCTACTGGCCTCGAACCCCATGCTCCAAGTGCCAGCAGGACAGCAAGTATCGAGCCGGGGGGTTGGTTCGACGAACCCGGACTGAGGCCGAACAGCAAGCACACAGCCTGCGCCTGAGGCCCGCTTCGTCCAACTCGGAGGCTTATCACGAGTGACGCTGGCGATTGGTTAGGCAACGCGACACACGTAGCGTTCCACCGGTTCACCAAATCCGAGTCCGGCCTCGGCAACGAAACTCGCGGGGATGGCGATGACATCCCCCAAGGCATAAAAGTCGGACGCGGTTCGCACTTACTATCTTGCATAATTGCCCCTAAAGTTTGTCACAGGAGATTTTAGTTCTGACCTGGAACTCCACCCCCACTATCCTAAAATCCTTTGCACAACCCTTTTTTTGCACTTCCGGGCCCCCATCCCACTCCGATCAGGAAGTCGCACTGGGCGTGAGGTTGGGCGTCACAGCCACACCACTCCCGACTTGGGATTTTTTTTGGGGAGTACTCCCAAAGGTCAGAAGACATGAAAATTCATTCGGGAGTGTGCTTTGCCACATTGCACTGTCGACTTGGAGCGCTCTCCGATTTGGAGGCCAGGAGGCGCACTTTCACGAGCACTGTCCAGCACTGTCCAGCACATGGCGACGAAAACTGTGGAGACTGCTTGCCTTCGGCGGATCACCTCAGGAGTTCTCCTGTCGAAACACGGGCCTCTGTGGGAGGTCTCCCAAAAATGGTCATTTGCAGGCAGGAATCCCAAGCTGTTTCGGGAGTGCTCTCCAACACAAATTTCTGACTGGTCCCAAATGCATTCTGTTTCGGGAGTGCTCTCCAACCATGGTGTTGTAGAGGCCAGTCACTGAGTGCACAGTGATCACCTGGAGCAGTATGCCGTGGGCGTCCTAGATATGAGACCACCTCCCATCCCATCCTCACGTCAATACTCCTTGTGCACCCCCTATCCCACATGCATTTCTGATATCTCCGAAGTAGGGAGTTGGTGTGGTGATGATGCACTCCTAAAAATGGCCTTTTTTCTGCAAGTCAGGAGTAGTGTGGCGAGGCCCTAGAAAGGAGAAGCTTGCTTTTACTCCCACCAGTGGAGTCTCCGAAAACACACCCAGTCTGGAGGATATTGAAAACTGTTTCCCCTAGTTTGCATGGGGTCTAGCCCTAATACGGATCAGAGGTATGGAATTCAAACCCACGACCTCTTGAATGCTACTTATGTGCCTAACCAAGTAAGATATACCAACTCATCCTATGCAGTGGTATAGAATTAGAGGATCTCTTTTCCTTTCAATTGAAAAAAAACAGATGCCTTCCTCGGCCTTTTGGCTAAAGAAAAAAATCACGTGTAGTATCTGATCCGCCGTCCATCGGACTCCAAAAAAAGGAAAAAAAGAAAAAGAAAGCAGATCCTGAAAATCACACACTTTGGACAGTGGCTCCACTACTAGCTGCACAAAAGACAAAAGATATGGCGGTGTAGCTTGCATGTTCCCATGTTCTGGCAGAAGATTCATTCTCATTTTGCAAATTTGGCGAGCTGTGGAGCGAGGACCACCGGACATTGGACCTCGCTGCACTACTCTCCAAATGTGCAAAATGAGAATGAATTTTCCTTTAGAAGATGGACAGAGACACCGCCATATGTGTTGTCTTTTGTGCATGTGGAAAGTAGCGCAGCGAGCCCCAGGGCATCGCCACACCACTCTCGAAATGTGCAGAATGAGAATGAACGTCCTGCTAGAACATGGCCAGATGCACCCGCGACATTTTTGTTCTTTTCACATTTCGAGTGTGGTGTGGCTAGGCCCTCAGGGCATACTCACACGGGGACCTATAGGGCCTCGCCACACCTATCCCGAAATCATCGATTTGGAGAGGAAACTCATCGCCATACCAACTCTCGAAAATCGGTGTCAGAAAAATTTTCGAGAGTGGCCAGAACGGGGTTTCAGGAGTGCTCCCGAACTGTGGTCGTTGCCCCACCTGCAAAGTTGCCACTTTCAAGAGTGGTCGAAGGCACCTCCGGTTTTGGCCCAAATTTTGTGAGTGCGCCATGACGGACAACCGTCTGCGGCCAGCGTTTTGTCGTGTTTGGTTCGAGAGACTCTCGAACCGAGGCCTCAGTCCACTACTCACCACATGCACAAAAGACAAAAAATCTGGCGGTGTATGTTTCCATGGTCTAGCAGAAGATTCGTTCTCATTTTGCACATT